ACAAAACAAAAAAAAGCAAACAAAACAAAACAAAAAAAAACCCACAAACACCTGGAAGCCAAGGCAGGAGCCTCAAATGTGCTGAGCACCCTGTGAGCCCTGGAGAAGTGCTGCTAATCCCGGGGATCAGGAGGTTTCCTTCCCTCCAGGATCCTCCCAGGGGAGCCGAGGGGATTTAGGGAGATGTCACCAATCCATCCCCGTTAATGAGCCCTTCGTGGCTCCTTCAGCCCCGGGATTAATCACCTCGTCGTGGTTCAACAGGGCTTTGGAGCTTTATCCCCCACCCCCAGGAGCATCTTCCAGGGCTGCAGCTCCCTTCCCTTCCCTGCAAACACAGGAGCAGTGTGGGAAGGATCATTATTCCAGCAGCAGGGTTGTTGTGTTGCCTGTCTCAGTGGCAGTGTTTAATGTTGTTATTGCACTGTTTCTGCTCAGGTATTATCTGGGATGAATTTAGAAATTAAAGTGCAGCTCCTGCAAGGGGAGAGAGGAGGGTTTGGGGGATTTTTTTTATTCTGTAGTGTTTGCTTAAATCTGAACTCCTGCAGATGTGCAGGGGCTGGATGGGACAGGGTGGGGAGGCCCTGGCACAGGTTGCCCAGAGAAGCTGGCACTGGATGGGCTTTAAGATCCCTTCCCACCCAAACCAGCCTGGGATGCTGTGGCTGCTCCAAGGGTTGAGCTGCTTCCTCAGCTTCCAGGACATTCCCAGCAGCTCCCTGGGAGTGGAGGGTTCTCTCCAGTTCAGGTATCTGAGGTGAACAGGACCTGCCTGGCCAGGCACAGAACTCTCCTCCTCATCCCAGAGCCCCTCCCCAGACCCACCAGTGTCAGACCTGCCCCCAGCCCCTGCTCCAGAGGTGCTTTTCCCTGGAATCACCTCTCCCAAGCCCATCAGAGCCCTCCCAGCTCTGCCCCCACCTTTTGCTCCTTTGACCTGCACCAGGAATTTTTCTGATCCCAGGGCGCTGGGAAATGAGGAAATGATCTTGTTTTAATGCCTGTTTTGCACCCCAAGAGTTTGCTGCAGAGTGCAGGGGTGTTACTGTTGATTCTCCAGGTATTGAAGCAGCAGAGAGGCAGGAATGAGGAGCACAGCAAGAGAAAAACCTTCAGGAAAAAAGGGTGCTTCAAAGCTTCCCTCATTCTTTGCTATTCCACTTTAACAAGCCCAGTGATTGATTTGGGTGCTTGTTACTTTAGGGAATAAAATCCTCTCTGCAAGTCAGAAAAGCTCAGCCTAACAATCTGTTCTGCTCCCTGAGATGCATTTTACAGGGATGAGGGAGAGGCTGGAGACAAATGGTCCTTCCTGGCTCCGTTTTGGGATGGTGGCTGTGCTGTGCAAGCTGATTCCAGAGGGTTCCTTCATCTGAAAGGCAGCAGGAACTGAGCTCCTCTTCCAACAGCCAAGAAGAAAGGAAGAGCAGCAAGAAAATTGGAACTCCTGTCTTTGACAGGATCAGGTTTCTGTGTTTTGATTCCTCAAAAAACCCCACAGCTCGTGCCCAGTGGATCTACCTGGATCCAGGTGACAGTGGGGGAAGTGCACACTAATTACAGCTGGAATATTTCTGTGCTCTTCACACCTCTCTCATATTTAATTACCTTTCAACTTATCCTTGCAGATGATAAAGAAAGAAAGAAAGAAACTTCCCTGTTAGGATCAGCATCAGGAATTTGCTCGAAAGTTCTCCTGCACTGGGAAAAGATTCCAGACACTGCACCTTTCCCAGTCCCAGATATTCCACATTTGCATTAGCCAGGGGTTGGGGGGCTAATGCAGAGTGAGAAAAACATGGAATGACGACAACCAAACCCAGGAAAATCTGCCTTGGGCTTCAGGCAAAGCCAAAGGGGAGGAAGGAGGAATCATTTCAGCAGGTTCTTACAAACTGCTCCCCTGGCAGTGATTTGCACATTTTGACCAACCAGCTGTGAAATGTTCTGGAACACATCAATTACAAACACTTGGGCAGTAATCAGCCTGCCCATTCCTGGAGCTCCTGACCAAAGGATCCTGGGCTGGGAAGAAACGTGGAGGAAAAAGGAACCTCGGGGAAAACAAAGGTTTGGGCAAGACAAGGAAACAGGAATGTGAGTGGAGATGGAGTGGGAGGCTGATCTGTGTGGGAAAAACAAGAGAAGAGGAAGAATGAAAAAAAAAAACCACAATAAAACACCCTCCCAACAGTTGGCAAGAGCACAACAGCTTGGCTGGAGGAGTTTTGGAGAGGCCTGGAAGGAAAGCAGGACCATTTCTGTGTCTCCAACGCTGAAGAAACCCCCACAGAACATCACATGTGCAGCCCAAAGGATGCAAATTGAGGGGGACAAATCCCAGACTTGAGGGGGCATCATTTACCCCAGTGCACCCTGGGGTGTTTCACCCAGAGGTAATGGATTTACACCTTGCACAGGTAACCAGGATGGCACAGAAGGACAGCCCAGGAGAGAGAGAGAGAGAGAGAGAAAACGGCCCTTGGACCCTGCCTGAGCTGCAGCTCCTCTCATATCCCAGGTTTTATCCTCTTCCCTCAGCTCCCTGGACACCCTCAGCCCCTCCCTGAGGGCTCCACAAAGGCAGCTCAGGAGAAATGAGGTGCAGAGGGAAGAGCTGAGAGGGTGTGACCGGGGAAGAACACACCAGAACAGCCCCCAAAAATGACAAGCAGCACATAATTTCCCCTCTCCAGGGACAGGGAGCAGGGGGGGCTCCTCCACCCCAACCCCTCAGGCAAAGCCCAGGGCTGGGTTTCCCTCCCCCAGGGGCCTCAGGAAATGCTACTTACACATAAAGCACAGTTTTCTGGTCTCCCACTTGGCCTCCATCCCCCACTGTCAGGGTGTCATATCCTCTCTCCAGCTCGAATTCTTCGAAGGTGAGTTTGATGACCTGGCAAAGAGGCAGCACGTTAACAGGGACCCCCCACCCCGGAGCCACAGCCAGCCCCTGCCCTGCCTGTCCAGCTGCTTGGCTCTGGAGCTTCCAAGAGCATCCAGAATATCTCCAGGACATCCCCAAAGGTGGCTGTCCTGGCTCTTTCCAGCCCTGGAGCACCTCCCTGCAGGCAGACTGAGCTCCCCCTGAAACCACCTCTGGGATTTCTCTGCCTTATCCATTGATTTCCCAGATGACTTCATTCACAAAAATGTGTGTGTTGGGACTCCAGCAGGCTCCTTTTGTCTTTCACCAGGTACCTCTGCCCTTTCCTTGCCAGCCCTGAAATCCTGTCTGTGCAGGTGCAAGTGGAGGGTCTTTCTTTTGCTTTGAGTTCCTCCCAAAATTCTCCTGGTTTCTGGTCAGACCAAGAGAGGATTTATATGAATTACCACTGGGAAATTGTCTCAGGCTGTCTGCAAACACAATCATCATCATCACATCTGTCCACAGCTCTTTGTGTCCTGTGTTTTCCCTCCTGTTCCACCCAAATTTCCACCCCTACTCCACTTTTCCAGCCCCCACAGAGCACAAACCCCATGGACACCAAAAGGTTTGGGTTCCAAAACCTTTCAGCTGCTTTGGAAACCTCTTGTTTTCAAATACAACATGATTTAGGGGACAAAGGTCCTTAATCCAGGCTGAACAAACAGAAAAGGAAGAGAACTTCATTTCCAGAAGTGTTTTCCAGAACCCAATGGAGCTTTGGGTTCCTGGAGCTCTTTCAGTGACCTGAGCCAGGAAAGCACTTGGATCAGCAGACCTTTGTGCAGGTGCCTGTAAACACATTGCATTTCCTTGCTTTTAACAGATTAAATCACCAAATTTGAGTCCAGGCCCCCTTGGGCTATTTTAGACAACACAGAATCATCCAAAGGAATTCAGGAGGAGGAGCCACGTTGGTGCCAAGGCCCACGGGCACCTGATGCCACCCCAGGGCATCTTAGGGCCCATCTTAGGGCCGGGACCAAAGGCACAGGGAAACAAAAATCCTGCTCTCTGTCATTTCTTACCTATTAAAAAAGCAGCACCTCCTGCAAACCCTTGAGCACATGTGCAGTAATGAAAGTCCCAAAGTTCAAACCAAAAGCAAAAAAAAAGAATGGTGTTCCTACAGCTGAGGCTGAGCTGTCCTGTGCCACCCCCTCCTACACATAAACACAGTATTTCTCAAATGCCCAGAAAGGAGGGATTTGAGCCACGACATCCTGAAAAATCAGAGTTTTCCCCCAAGCCCTGGGATGGTGAAACAGGAGCTCTCGTGTGAGATCCTTCAGACAACTGTGGAACCATTAATTGGAGTGGCAGCACCCAAATATTAACCTGTGCAGGTCGTTATTAAAGCCTGTAATGACGGAATAATGTAATTAATACAAAGCAGCCGAGGCTGTAACGCTGCACACATCGTTAGTTCAGTCACCCACTCAAGTGAGCTGCATTCTGAGGAGCCTGACCCTAATTAAACAACTAATTACACTCTAGCACACTCAAGACTGTAACCTCGTGGCACAGGAACTGGATGCTGAATACAATATTTATTTATCCGTTTCCCTATTTTTTTTTGTCTTTTTTTTTGGCTCCGAAAGCTGAAAATTATTTAATGATTCATTAAAGCAACAAGAGCCCTCCCAGCACACACAAACACACGGGGATGACACAGAAAGCTCCATTTTTAAGCTGCTGAAGTGACAGGAAGCAATTAGCAAAGCCAAGAAAATCGGGCTGGAATGTGACACCTGATCCTAAAGCTTTGTGGCACAAAGTGATTTGAAGTGCAGTCACATTCAGAGGGAAAAAAAACCAATAATTCCCTCCATAAAACACCCCTTGCAGTTACATTGAAATGCTTTACAAGCACGTTACTCATCTCCCCCTTCTCCCCAGGCTCCAGCATTTCTCTTAATTTGGGATGAATCCTCCCCTGGAGGGGCCCATCTCCCTCCAGCACAAAAAAGCTTGGACAGAGCTTCATTTATTTGGCTCATGAGAGCCCAGGTGAGAACAACCCCGGGAGAAACATCAACCAGGAACATCCATTATGGCCAAAAAAAAAGGTCCAGAAATGGTTTTTATGCAAATCCCCCAATTATCATATTCATTTCTCAGCTCCCCGGTGATTTATTTTTCCCACTGTGGTTGAAACTCATTCCCATGGCACCAAGGACCAGCAAAAAAAATCCCAATAGCCTGAAAATATCCCCCCAAAATGGGTTTGATGTCACCCTCTGGCTGGGGAATAATTGCAAGTTGTCAGAGAGGAGCTCTCTGCCCTCAGAGCTGCTGGGGGAGGATTCTGAGCAAAACCTGGAGGGGATTCTGGGGCTCAGGGAATCTGGCTGAGGGTTCTTTTCCAAATATAGACCAGAGCACTTGCAAATGAGCTCTAAATTCAGCTCCCTTGGCTTTCCAGGCTCATGTTAAAAGCTCCTTGTAACAGGACCTGATCCAAGGACCACTGGAGTCAATAAAAAGATTACACTGAATTCAGCAGGATCCTGCTCAGCCACAGGAGGCTTCTCACATTCCAAGTATTTCACAGGCATTTTAGTGAATTCAGCCCCAATCCCTCCCTTATCCACACTGGGAAATGGGGGATCCACACTGGGATCATCCCCTTGGCCTTTCCAAACCCCTTCCTTCTCAACCCCCTTCCTTCTTCCCCCTCCCTGCTTCAGAGGCACGGAGAGGTTTTTCCCTAACAGCAAATTCCACTTCCAGGATGAAAAAAAAAACCCACAGAAAATTTATAAACTTATAAATTTATAAACCTTTCTAAAACTGCTATTATTAATTAACTAGTTATCACTTTGCAGAGAAGGGAGTCTCTTCACACAGCTCATAAAAGCTGTTGGTTTAACCAATCCACCCATATTTCACTGTTAAAATCTATGATGTGCAGCCCAGGGAGCACAAACTGCAGTTCTGCTGCTGTTAAATCTCTGCTCTGGGTCGGGAAGTACCAAAATGGATGGATTTTCCCAGTTTCATCCCCCTCTATGAAAGGATCAGGACCTGCAGATTCTGTTTCCTAATCAACAGTTCGTTATTACCCAGGGTTAAAAGCTGAAGAAGAAACCAAACAGGGGGAGAGGAGCTTTCCCTGAGGAGAAATTCCATTGAGAAAGGAGACAATCTGCCCAGGAAGCTTAGAGGAGAAGCTTATCCCACCACAGTGCTGATGGAAAAGCTGGAAAACTTTGGGCCCAAGACTGGCACAACAGCAAAGGAACAGAGCTGAGGGTTAGACTTGAATATTCAACACAAACCAACACACTGAAGGGTCAGTGAAACACTGGACATGGCCCATGGCTGGACTTTGATGATGATTTCCACCTCCTCCTTCACAGTCTGTAACAGGAATCCCAGCTGGAAGTGTATCCCACATCCACATCCAGCTCCCCACGACTTCTTTCCAAACCCAGAGGTCTGTTTTATGCACACAAGAACTGGATGTTGCCGATTTTTAAAGCCAAACACACAGAAAAAATGACATATAAAGTGAAACACACATTCCACAGCCCAAGCTGGTGGGTATTCCATAACCTGGGAATGGATATCCAGGAGCCTCCATGGGATGGAGGCACAGCTGACACCTGAGCAGGAAGAGCTGCTGTGGCCTGTCCTCCACTGCACATCCCACCCCTGGGGCTCATTAACCACTGAATCACTGCTAATGAACCAGCACTGAAGAATATCCTGATTCCCCGCTCCCCTTTCCCGGGATCCGGGTCATTCCTGCACTCCTGGGCAGCCAAGCCACGGGTGGGTAATGCCAGCCTGGGCTCCAACCTCCCTGGGAGCTGGAAGGGGAGGGTTATCCTCATAAAAACCAGGATCCACCAGGGATCTGGGCTTGTTAAAGGCTTGAACTGGGAGGGAACTCAACAGGTTCTTCAGCCACGAGCTCCAGGGGGAGGTGACAGCAGGGCACTGCCAGCAATTCCCAACAATTCCCAGGAAAAAAGACAAGGTCCTGGGGTAGCAACACGTCTGGGAAACGCCCTGCTTGGCTCAGCAGCAGGTCCAAGGCATCCCTGAGGGAATAACCCCGGGAGCTCAGAGCCCTGGGCTGCAGGATTCCCTCCTTTGGGAATAACCTCAGGAGCTCAGAGCCCTGGGCTGCAGGATTCCCTCTGGAGCCAATGGGGGTGGTGCTGGTGGGAACCCAGGGACTGAGAGGAATGAGAGCTGTCACCTCCTGAGAGCAAATACAGGGAATAACAGGGAATAACACCTCGGGAAGTGTGTTTTGAGCCACACAGCAAAGCAATTTTTGTCCTTGTGCTCCCACCCAGATCTGGAGGAGGGACACGGGCTGAGACTGAAGGGCTGGAAAGAGTCAAGGCACCAAACACTGCCCTCAACTGCAATTCCATTGCCAGTGGAAAATGGAAAGGAATTGATCCTTCCCAGGCCAAGGCAGTCAGACCCTGCTCTCTCCAGCCTGGAATCACCCCCAGAGAGGACCTGCTCATAAATCAACAACACTGCACAAACAGTGGGAGATGAGCCCCCACCTCCTCCTCCCCACCCCACCCTCTGCCCTTTGGGGGCTGAAATGCAGGTCCAGGGCCTGCAGCAGAGCCCCTGGTGAGGCACCCCAGGTGAGGCACCCCAGGTGAGGCACCCCAGGACCCACCTTGGCGGGGTTGAGGGCGGTGATGACCCACACGCAGTAGGCGTTGTTGTCGTACTGCACCGGGTAGTTGGGGGACGTGATGACCCCGCTGGGCCCCCTCAGGTACGTGTCACACATCCTGGCTGGGGACACAGACAGCACAGTGAGACCTCTGGGCTCTGGGCTGGCAGCTAAAACCCCCAAAATCACCACCCCGTGTTGGCAGAACTCCCCCTTTTTTCCCCACTCGTGCAGCAGAGATGGAGGATTTGTCTGTTGGAGGGTTTGTCTGTGGGGCTCTTCAACCAACCAACAACCCACTCTCCAACCTTATTGGAGACCATGAATAAAGACTTACTTTATTCACACTCTCCAACTTTATTGGAGACCATTTTATTCATCATTCTTATTTTATTCATCTTTTTTTTTTCCTTTCTAAAGCCCTCGCGAAAATCGTTTCGCAACCGGCCACGGGGAAGATTCTGGCTGAGAGGCAGCTCCTTTTTCATGTCCCCCCCCCAAAAAAAAAAGCCATCTTTCCTTTCTTCTTGCAGATCAAAAAAAAAAGAAAAAATAAAAAATACTGCATGGCAAGAATTTATGATGTAATTATTAAGTATTTATCAGGCTGGTTTCGTTCAGACACGACCGTGGGCTCAGAACTGAGATGGCAACTCAGCTTTGCATCTTAAAAACATCTCAGGTAAAGGAGGAGCTGGAAAGTGCTTAAACAGGGAAATTTTGGCCTGTGGTATCCCTTTGATGCAATATTTAGCTGGAATATTTCACCAGGAAATGTGAAGAGCAGCATCCTGGCTCTGGAGCTGCCTCTGCTCTCGGGACGGAGCCTCAAAATTCAAATTGATTTCAAATCTCAAAGGAGAAGTATTTGCATATGTGGCATCTGCAAGGCTTTTTTTTTCCCCCCACCACTCCAAATTGCAGGAAAACACGGAAAACAATCTCCAGGCTGGGACACAGGGGAACATGTGGAACAGCAAGAGCAGGTCGGGAAGGAGCTGAGGGCATCTCTCCATGGTGCTAAACCACATCCCTCCTGCCTGACCTCAACAAAAAAAAAGGTAAATCCCATTATTCCCATTTTTAAAGTGGTGTTCCCAAGACCCAGAGAGAACCTGCTGTAGATGGGGGAGCTGAAAAAAGTCTCCCATCAGTGGCTCAAAGTTTGATCCCTGGGGATCAGAAATTCTCCCAGCCCAGGGGGGGTTAAAACCTGTTCACTGGGATTTCCCAACTGGAGAGAAACCCAAAGGGAAAATGGAACTGAAATAAAGAGCAAATGGAAAACTTTTCAAACAGAAAAAAAGCACAACAAAAAATTAGCAGTTAAAAAAATTAAGTTGATTCAAAGAGACACAATAACAGAGGCAAATCCTTTCTTATCTCTTGCAAGAGGACACCATAAATTTCCTTTATAGTGTCACATATTTATGCCAAATATCCTCTTACACTGATTCAATTTATTCCAGGCTTGTTTCAAGAATTAGATGGGATTCCAAAGCCTTGAAAAAAATCTGCAGATGAAATTAAAGAAAAAAAAAAAAGAACTGAAAAAAATACCTATTTATGACTTTAAGAGCTTTAAAGGGATTTCATTAAAAATATTACAAGTTGTTCATTATTAGCATTACAAATATCACATTATTCATGGAACTCCTTTGGAGAGGGAATGAAAACAAAATGGCCAAGGGCAAAATGGGCATCAGTGTGTTTTCCATTGAAAGAAAACTCCTCCACTGAAAGGAAACTCCACTGGGGGATGGCTCATGGCACAGGACCATCGGGATGATGCTACTGAGGAACCACAGCCCAAAAATCCCACGTGGATGCCCAAGAGCAGCAAGTTCCAGTTCAAAAAAAATCTCCCTCCATCTCTGCTTTTCCAGATTTTATTCCAGGCTTTCACCCTTTTTCCCTTCTCCTCCTTGTCCCCTAAAAGGAAATACCTGGAATAGAGAGATGACCCTTGGATAATGGGAAAGGGAGGGTGGGGAGGCCCTGACACAGGTTGCCCAGAGAAGCTGTGGCTGCTCCATCCCTGGGAGTGTCCAAGGACAGCCTGGAGCAACCTGGGATAGTGGGAGGTGTCCCTGCCCTTGGAACGAGGTGGCCTTTGAGGTCCCTCCCAACCCAAACCATCCAGGGCTTCCACAGCCTTACCCAGGGACTCCAAACCTGGGGTGATGCACCCAGGGCACCCTGAGGGGAGGGGTTTTCCCATCCATCCCAGTAATCCAGGGAAGTTTTGTGCCTCCTCACCTCTGCAGACGGGCCTGTGGTCGCTCCAGGCCACGATGAGGTCGCTCACCCTCTTGCAGGTGATGCTCCTGGAGCCCTGCAGGTCGTAGCCCTCGTTGCAGGAGAACTGGATGCTGGAGCCCAACCTGGAAGGGGAGCAGGACATGAACTCCCAGAGCTCCTGGCCCAGTTCTGCCCCCTCTGCCCCACCCCGTGCCCAGAGCAGCTCCCGGGAATGCTCCAGCAGCACATCCCAGCCTTCCTGGGAATTCCATCCCATGTGGGAGCACAGCCCCAGCCCCAGGAGGTGACATGCTCAGCATTCTCATGTGAAAAAGTGGAAAAAAAAAATGTCCTTTATCTGCTGCTGAGAGGTTTGTTCTTGGTTCTGTGGGTTTGGGTCCAGCCCCTTCACTGCCTTATTCCCCCTTATTCCCTCCTTATTCCCCCAGGAGACACAACCCAGCTGGGAGACTTTATCCTGGGGCATTTAGGGACTACTGGGAATTCCCTTTTCTCCACCCTCACCAACTTGCTGGATTTCAGGAGAATTTGGCAGAACTCGGGTTCAACCGAAAGGCACTTTTTGTGACCCAAAAGAGCCACCACCAGCAAAATAAGCTGAAATATCCATTCCCCATTGCTGACCACAGGCTGGGTCGCTCCTACCCACTGGAAAGGAACATTTGCAACTGCAAGGGAATAACAGCATTGTTTGAAACTTTATAAAAAAACCCAATTAACTCGCCCCACAGCCACTCACTGACAAGGAACTGTATCATCACCTCAAACTCTCTCGGGGTAGGGCCATGCTGGGGCTTAAAAAGTGATTTTTTTTTTTTTGGCTGTTCAAGAGAGTTTTCCTGCATTTAACCAGAGGGGGGATGACAGCACAAATGGATTGTACAACCTGGCTAAACACCTGGGTTGTCAGAGGGTAAATACTCGAAGGGATCACCCCGGATGCTCAGGTGGGACACACATTTATTCTCCTCCTCCCTAACGTGGGCAGGGATTTTCAGAGAGGACACATTAGAGGTGGGCAGATGGTCTCAGAAAACAGACTCCAGAATGCCAAGGAGCACAAACATGGCACAGAACAGGAGCTTTGGCAGCATGCAAAAAAAAAAACAAACACCACACACGGAAAAGGTTCTTACCTAAAATCGTTGCCTATTCTTTTGCCTCTCTCTGGAATCCCAGGGTCTGGACACATATTATGTCCCTGGGACACACCAACCTGAGTTACTACAAAGCAAAAAACAGCACATACAGAGACAGAATAGCAAAAGAAACATTCTTTCATCAACTGTCTTTGGTGGATGTGGAGAGAAAAAATGGCAACCGGCAGCTCGAAAAACCTGAACGTGTTCCATTTTGTGAGGGAAAAAAAACCAGCTTTGGAAACGAATACCCTGGAATCATTTCAGCTCAGCTCGTACAGCAAACTGTTTTCTAGGAAACCACAGCTAGGGACACGGTTTTCCCTCTTTTCCATTACAGAAGTACCTCTGAAAAGAGTTGGTTTGGGTTGTTTTTTTTCCCATATTCTGCGAAATTACCCCAATTAACCAGCCCATTTAAAAGAGCCACCTGTGACCCATCCAGGTGACATCCTGCACCCGAGCCAGCGGTGCCAGGGGAAGAAAACAGCTCCATGGAAAGGCAGGTGTGTGATACCAGGGGGAAAAAAACCCGAGCACGGAACAAAAGGCAGAAGGGAGGGGGGGAAATGCCAGTCGAGGGGTTCAGAGCGAGTCATTCAAGTCTGAGCGTGGAAAATCTTATGGAGCGACCTCAGGGTAACTGCCAAGGACCATGAGAGCCATGGAGTTTCCATGAAACCATGGAAATCATGGAGTGAGGAACCTTCCAGCTCCACTCTCCACCTCCCCATTCCCAGCCCTCTCCGGCCTGTCCGAGCGTTCAGGGCTGGGGGCAAAATCCTGAGTTCCACCCGGAATTCCAGCAACTCCCAAAGGGACAAAGAGGGGATTTCGCCACAGAAGCTGCAGAGTTTGATGGCACCAAGGGGAGGACCCGAGGAAACCACACCGTTCCTTGGTGTGAATCTCAGACCCCCGGATTTCCGTCCTGCCTCTGCCTATCCCTGGATTCGAGGGGAAAGCCCAATCCTAATTCCCAACAGGCTGCATTAGCACAGTGCCCCGAAGCCCAGGGCCAGATGGGTGATGGAGCAGTGACAAAAGCACGTTCCTCACGACACACACGTGGGCTCCAGAGCTGGAGCCCGGCAGGAGATGGAGAACAGGGACAGAGGAGGGGAGAGAGAGAGAGAGAGAAAGCACGTGGGGTGTCTGCACAGACTGCACAGGGGGGACACACAGAAAGCCAAGACCATCAGATATGTAATTATCCAGTGGGTAATTACACCTGGAGTAGCCAGGGACTGCAGCTGGGAGGTGGAAGTGTTCCTGCAAGGAGGGGAGGATCGCCGGGACAGGGCTTTTGTCTGCACCCAACTGCTGCTGCTGTGCCAAAACCATTCCAGCCCCTGGCCTCCTCCTCAGCACTGACATCTCATGTTGTGCCCTTTAGTTCTGAAAGGGCCCTTTTTAGCTCCTGCCCTCCCTTCCCACCCTGTGCTGGAGCAGGGATGGAGCTGTCCCCTGTGTTCCCACCTTGGTGTTCCCACCCTGGTGCTCTGTGCTCTCCTCTGGGTGTTTGAGGGCACAAAGGGAGCAGAAACACGGATTCATGGAAACCAGGCTCCTCAGAGACTGTTTTCCCTCCTCTGCATGTTCATGACCTCATGTTAAGCTCAGTCAGGTGGGGAGGGGGGACCGTGAAAGCAGCACAACCCTCTGACTGCTGCCACCTCTGAATGTCCCCCAAAGGCCAAAGGAAAGCAGCAGCCTCTGCCTCCACCACCCACATTTTCAGCAGCTCCTGAAAATGAAAGGTCAGCTCAGCAAAGTCCTCGGGTGGCACCGACTTCCATGGGGTGTCTTCAGTCTCTACCCACACCCACACACCCCAGTGTGACCCCTGGGCACAAACCAAGCCAAACCAACCCTCCAGGCTAAGGCTGGATACCACAAGGCCACGTGGAAGTGCTGAGACTTCTCGTCTTCCCCCTGTGCCTTGACCAGAGTAAAAAACCCCCCCGAAGAATCCCCCCCCTGGAACACACACAGACACCCTGCATCGAGCTCTGGGTGCTCTTCTGGCACCACAAACCCCCTTCCCACAGCAAATCCTTCCTCCCGTGGTCAACAAACCCCCCCAGACAACCCCTCCCACCCCACTGGGTGGGTTACTCTGCACTCTCACAGCCAGTTATTAATTCCCATATTTGATAACCTCTAACTCAGAGCCCTGGGAGGACCCAGAGCTGCAGATGACCAGCAAGAACAGGTTGTCAGCTGCCAGTCACACTTCTGAAGGCTAAAACCAGTTAATCTCTTGTTAGCTGGAGATTTATTAACACCTCCAGAACACGTGTAGATAAAGCAGAGAACAGATAAGATAAAAGCTGAGCAAGGGGGAAAGGAAAGATGTCTCCATATCATGGGAACTCGGGGAATTCTCCTTGCTACTGTGAAGGAAAGAGAAAGGAAAGAAGATGGATTAGATGGTCACTTACAGGAAACTTTTGTTCTCTCCCTTTTGTTTCAGACACACAACTAACTCAGGGGTTAGGAAGCAGATTTGTCATGCTGAGAACTGTCAGCCCTGTGTTCACCTTCCTCAAGCTCTGACTGATCCCTGCTGGGCTCTTCCACCCCCACAGGAATCCTTCAAGGTCACTGGAAAAACAATGGATCTCACCAGCTGGGATGAACTGTTCCATTTCTACATTATGAACTCCAGGATTTTCTCTCCCCCAAACCATGGAACTCGTTTTCCACCCCTTCGTTCTCCTCCTGATTTTTTTCCAACAGCTTTTCCCACCGTGAATTCGACGACAGCCAGTTCCTGATCGTTCTTTTTTTTTTGCCACAGGAATTTACTCTTAAAAATCTGTTTTAAAGGAACTCAGAACCTTCCTTGGTTCTCTGATATATCCCCAGGTTAACCAAGTTCACTGAAACACCCCTAAGGGACAAGTTTTTACTGAATTTAGGAATATAAAACATGAACTACCCCCCACCACCTGATGCCAAAGCAGCCTTGCTGCAACGACCCAGAACTTCACACACTTGGCTGAGACCTAAAACTGCTCCAACCCCTCCCAAATGTACATTTAAACCAGATTTTGACCGATCTGAAGGTGCACAGAACTTTCACTCCTCCATCCCACCCCTCCCAGTCCCCCCCCAGCAGTGCCTGTTCAGGGGGGGCTTCCCTCAAAGGTCACAAAAGCACCTCAAAGGCCACAAAAGCACCTCAAAGGTCACAAAAGCAACTTTGGCGCTGTTTTTTAAGAACAAATGCCATGTTTTTCCCACTGGAGTGTCCCCATTTACACCCCGTGTGCAGGAACAGAAACAGGAACAGAAACAACCTCCAAAACACAACCTAAAACTGAAAACTATTTCTTCTCTCAGCCTCCAGAGCTGTGTTATTTTGCCTCTAAAAGTGGTTAAAGGGAGATGTCCAAACAATTTCAGGGATGGTGAACAGCACAAGGCACTTGATCACAATTCCAAACAAACACAGTCGACTACAGCTGAACACAGGAAGCGCCTCCCCCCAAAACTCCAGAGTTTTATGTGGTTTTTTTACCCCTCAAGCAGCACCAGCACTTGTGATGTGACTGAGTTTTGCCTCCATTCAGACCCACAAAACACAAGGGTTTACCCTGGCCAGGTGACCCAACCCCAGTGTCCACCCAGCCAAACCCAAACCCTCTGTGGGACCCGCAGAAGAGACTCTGCCAGGCAGGATTTTGGGGCAGATGCAAAGGGAATAACTGAGAGTAAAGCCCAGACTTGGAGGCTGGACTCGATGAGATCCCGGAGATCTTTTCTTTTCCAGCCTTAATGACTCTGTGATTCCATGGCAGAGCTGTCACCAAGAGACACAGGCATTCCTAAATTTCTCGTATTTGAGCCAGAGCAACTCCAGCAACCCTCAGTGACCTTTATCAGCCCGTCCCACCTGCACAGTTCTCTGGGAGCCTCGTGGAAGTGGCACAGCCAACCATGCAAATCAGAGCCACCAGGGGAAAGGAGCAGATAACACTCTGGGCTCCTTCTGCTGAGAGAAAAAAGCACCATTTCCTGGCGGCATCTTCCCTGGAATCAGCACTCCTGCAGCTGGAACATTCCCTGTGGGAGCAGCGGGGGAGCAAAAGGCCGTGGGAGATAGAGGTTAATCAGGCAATCCAGAGCCCGATTGCTAATCAGGCAATCCAGGGGCACAGGGAGGGGGCTGGAGGCACCAGGGGGGTGGGGATGGACAGAATCTGGGCCACTGGCACCATCTACACCAGGACAGCTTGGCAGCTCTGGGGCTGAGCTGCCTCCCTGCTCTGGGGTTGATCCCCAGGATGGGATCAGCACTCACAGGATGCTGAGCTGGGGTTGATCCCAGGATGGGATCAGCACTCACAGGATGCTGAGCTGGGGTTGATCCCAGGATGGGATCAGCACTCACAGGATGCTGAGCTGGCAGCTCTGGAGCTGCTCTGGCAGGTTTTTACTGAATTTAGGAATTCAGGAGGATGAGCTGGGCAGAGGCAGGACTGGGACAGAGGGTTCACTGCTGTCTCCTGCTTGGCCTCAGCACCATTCCCAGAGCCCACACAGCATGTTAGAAACGGGTAAAAACTGCTCCAGGGAAGCAGCTGAGCATTCCTGGGAAAGAGAAATGGGAATCCTAAATATTCTTAACACCAGAGTACTTCTGTCAACTAAAGACTCGAAGCCAGGCTGACATTTGTCCTCCCCTTCCCCACATTCCCCACGTCCAAGACATCAGACCCCCCACTCCAAACACATCCCTCTGTCTCCACACAGAGCCAATGGTGTTTTCCAACTGAATTTCATACTCAGTTAAGTGATCTGGAATGTTATTACAATTAAACTCTTCTTGGCAAAGCATAAATCACCCAGCCAGGAACGTCTTGCACACCAAGTTTTTCTTTAAAAATCGAATCCACTCCCTCTAAACACCCCCCAACGTTTTCTGCTCTGGAGATTTTGGGCAATTCACAGCCTCCTGTTATTATTTGCCTTGTTGGGCCTTGCTCCTGAAAAACCAGAGACTAAAAGCACTCTCAGGTGAGCCACTCTCACTGCAGACAGACAGCAAAGCACGTTCCAAATCCAGCTCATCGTTTCTTAACTCAGTTTTTTTTGTGTCCAAAATCCAACCCAGTGAAATGTCATGGACTGTGCACCAACACGAGCAACTCCACCCTCTCCCCTAAAAACTGAGGGAAAAACATGTTCCACTCTGCTCCCATTTGAATTCATATAAAATATCGATTTTATTAATTAATCCAGATCCCTCCTGTCCCACCTCAGGGTCCCCTCAGGAGCCCAAAGGTCCGTCCAGAGTCACACACGGGAAGAAACTCTGAGTTTTGCTTCTGCTTTGAGAAGAACCCGATGGAAAGATGGATGGACCTAAAGGATTCCCCTCCTGCCAGAGGGACACTCTGACACACCACCCTAAACACAGCCACCAAAACAGGGAGACCCAAAAATCAGTGGTACAAGCCCAGCACTGTCACGATTTTTCTGCAGGGACAACTGAATAAAATTCAAATAGAAAGAGAAAGAGCTTGCTGCCACCTCTGCAGGCTTGCTAAAAGGTCTTCTTGGTGCTGTTCCTTATCCCTACTCCTAATTTTACAGCAACATTAACTCAGTTTTCCAAGTTCTTTCCAGCTGGACACTTTCCACGCTAAAAGGCTGTCATTGATCAGCAGAATACAGTATATATTCCATATAAATATTCCATACACACCCCCCAGTCCGCTCCAGGCCACTCTGAGGAGTTAGTAAATGCTTGTGAGCAGAGCACTGGGAGGAAGTGATGCAGTAATGGGGAGGGAAGAGAGGGAAAAGCATCACGACAAAGTTTTAGAGATTACTGGAAGTCAAATGAAATGTTCAAGGAGATCATTTGTACGAAAGACAGAGAAGGAAGAGCCAAAAAACTTACACACTGATGTCTTCTGGTTGTTGTCCTTGCTGGGCATGAGCTTCACCCCCCTGGACTTGAGCTCCATTTGCTTTTTGACTGCAGGGACAGATGGAAAACAGAGGAAAGACAAGGAAAAGGTTTAGCTGAGCATCAGGGATCAGTTAAAAAGAAAATGATGAGACACTTGTACATCACCCACCCCCTGCATCCTTCCCTGGTGGCTGAGACAACTCACCCTGACCCCCCAAACCAGGAGGGACCCTTTCATTCACCACGTTAGGGCTGGATTGATGTCCCTGGAGAGCTTTTATTTGAAGATAAAACCAGGGTCTGACCCCCCCATCCCTCTGGAACCACACCATTAACACACCACAAATGGGAGAGAGGCAAAAGGGAAGCCCTGAGAAACTTCAGGGATCCTGAGAGGGAAATGCTCAGTGAGTTCCACCCAGTTTTCCTGCTGCAGTTTTTCCATGGATCCATCACACAGCAAAGCCACTCTCTGCTTCCATAAACTCTAAATATGGCCTGGGGGAGTGTTAGGCTCAAAAAGGCAGTAAAACAGCAGGGAAAAAACCCCAAAAAAACCATATTATTGGCAAAGAGAAGGGTAAATCCACCATGAACAGCCACAGGAAGAGCTGGATGGTGACTGTGCCCAAGGTCCAACGGGAACAACCTCCCAGCAGGAAGCACAACATCCAAAATCCTTTCCAGGAGCCTTTTCCTGGAGCAAACCAGCCCATCTCCCACTTCAAACTGCTCTCCCCTCTTTATCTTCCTCTTGTCATCCTTTCATCCCTAAATTAGCACATTCCAGAGACAAAGCTGTCAGGAAGAATTACCCCTGTCACTAACAAGGTTTTTTTTTAATCATGCCATTTTTTTTTGGCTTAAAAACCAGTCTGTTTGGAACATCTGTTCCTGGGGAGCTTCAGACAGGGAGATGTGGATTGTCACTCCTTGAAGCTCACCTGGGGCAGTGCTTTGAGAGGGAGAGAGAGAGAGGCTGGATGGGAGCTTTTCATTCATCATTTGCTCACAGCTTTTTGCTTTCTCTTTAAATAAAGCAGGGAGAACTTCAAACTCAGCCCCCTGCACCAGCTTAAATAATATTCATGAGGAAAAGTCACAGCTTTCTTACCAGCATTGGTATGTTCAGCCTGTGCAGGGGGGGTTGTCTAATTTTTAATTTAAGAGGAGAACACTAATTAACAGCAGGCCACTATCAAAGGGAATCTAACACTTGTTTCTTTTGACTCCAAATCCACCTGCAAACGCAGCAGGAGGGGAGCAGAAGGTCTCAGGATGCCCCAGAGATCCCCAGAGTCCTGCAGGTCACGGGGTGTTTGCAGCCTGACCTCGAGGTTTTTAAAAATCCGCCATCAAGGGACCACAGAAAGGACAGGGGGCTGCCAAAACTCACATTTCTGGGGCAAAACCCCTATTTCTGCCTCAACCAGGTTATCCTGCAGAACAGTGCAGGCCTTTCCAAGCAAGCACAGGGACGACCCTGCAGTTCCAGCCAATAAAACCCAGTCAAGTCTGAGCATCCAAGGCTAAATCTGAGCTGTTGCAGGATGTGCTGGGGTGATTTTCCAGGGTCTAATCCACTGCTCTGGGGCACGAGCAGTAGGGGAGCAGCTTTCCAAAAATAATCCCCATTTTTACATTCTCCACAACTTCCCACTGCCAAGTCCCTTTGTCCAGAGGAATGTTTGTGCAAACCCACCCTTGGCACAGCCCAGGTCTGATGGAGGGAACCTGCAGCCTCAGGGGACAGGCAAAGATGCCAAGCACTGGTGCCCCCACCCAGGGCTGGGGCTGGGGCTGGGGCTGAGGGGGGGTAACACAGCCCTGGCAGGGTCAGGACACCCCAACTGCCCAGCTCCAGCATTTCCCTAGTGCTCAACATCCCAAATCCAGCAGAAGGGGCTGGAACAAGATGGTCCTTGAAGTCCCTTCCAGGTTCAGGACACCCCAACTGCTCAGCTGAACATCCCAAATCCAGCAGGAGGGAGTGGAACAAGATGGTCCTTGAGGTCCCTTCCACGCTCAGGACACCCCAACTGCCCAGCTCCAGCATTTCCCTAGTGCTCAACATCCCAAATCCAGCAGAAGGGGCTGGAACAAGATGGTATTTGAGGTCCCTTCCAGGGTTAGGACACCCCAACTGCCCAAATCCAGCATTTTCCCAGTGCTGAACATCCCAAATCCAGCAGAATGGGCTGGAACAAGACGGTCCTTGAGGCCCCTTCCAGGATCAGGACACCCCAACTGCCCAAATCCAGCAGAAGGGGCTGGAACAAGATGGTCCTTGAGGGCCCTTCCAGGATCAGGACACCCCAACTGCCCAAATCCAGCATTTTCCCAGTGCTGAACATCCCAAATCCAGCAGAAGGGGCTGGAACAAGATGGTCCTTGAGGGCCCTTCCAGACTCAGGACACCCCAACTGCTCAACTGAACATCCCAAATCCAGCAGAAAGGGGTGGAACAAGATGGTCCTTGAGGGCCCTTCCAACCCACACCATTCCCTGGCTTCTCCAAGGCATGGAGAGTTCCTGACAACCAAAGCTGCCCCATGTTCAGCCCTGCCAGGTGACAAACACCCCCCTCCAAAGCTGGGCCTAAGGCAAAGCCTGGCTCCCAAATTCCAGCACTAAGGAGAAGGAGCAGCACACACCACACTCATTACCAAGCACAACCCCAAATCCAGAGCCCAGGACAGCTGGATTTGGGACTGTGCTTGCTTTACTCAGGACTAAAACCCAGGAAGCATCTTCTCCCCTAATTGCATCGTGTCCCTTCCAAATCCAGCTGATCAAGAGAGATCTCTGCACCCTCTCCCCTTAATCCTTCGTTTTGTTTGCAGCATGATGAAAGCCAAGCTTTACAAATGACTCAAAATTTAGATTAAACAAGGCACAATCCAGCAGCCCTCGCTTTAGGGGGGGAAATAAATAAATAAATAAATAAGAGCAGTTCTCCTGCTCTCTGCCCTCAAAAAATCTGGTATTTGAAAATCTGTTTTGTTTATAAGTCGGAATGTGGAGCAGTACTACAAAGGGCTGTGTCAGGATAATTGGATGAACAGAAACTTCTGTTTTCTGCAGGGTTTTGCTGCTCACACACATCCAATAAGATCTAATGGAATACTCAGCATCCTTGTCAAACTTGAGAGATGACATTACAAAGCTTTCTCCAGCGAGCAGCCAGTCAGGGGGTGTTTCTTTTAAAGCGTTTCATGTTGCTCTAAATGAGAATTTAAGAACACGTTTATTTATTTTTAATTTTGGAAAACAGCATTTCAGCAAAAAAAAAATAATAATAACAACAAAAAAAAAAATCTATTCTAGGAATCTCTGTTCTCCTTGCTGAGGGACTGCTGTTAAATACAGGCCTGCCTGACTTTCTCCTCCTCCCCCTGGGATGTTTTACCAGCACCTGGGATACTAAAAAATAGACAGCTTCTTCACAGGGGTTCTTACATTGGAGGTGAAGAAAATCACCCTCAAATCAACTGTTTGGGAACCCTTCTTTTAGCCAACCTATGGAATGGCTCTCCAGGAATCAGAACCTGCACAAGCACCAGGATTTTCCCTGTCCCTGCCACGGGATTGCCCAGAGGAGACTCCACAGGTTGTCCAAGGTGAGCCAGAACCCCTGTGGGGATCACACAGAGGTGTGATCCGAGGTGAAGAGTGGAAGATGTGCCAAAAATGAAGCCCATAAATCCCTAACTGGTCCATACCCAGCTGGGTGGGGCTGGCACCAACCCGTGGGAGGTGTGGAAGGGGGTGGGATGGGACGAGCTTTGAGGTCCCTTCCAACCTGAACCATTCCACGGTTCTGTGAGAGCCTCAAAAAGCCATTTCTGTGGTGCACAGGTAGGACAGAGTCCACCAGCCCCTGTAAAGGTGACAGCTCTGCTGGGACCTGCTCCCTGCCCGGGCTGGAGTTCACCCCACCCATCTCCTGGAGGGGAAGGGGATGGGCAATTATGTGTTGGTAACAATCAGCTGAAAAGCACTTTGGGGTCCAATTCCTTCAAGAAAACACGTGCAGGGAGGGAGAGCAGCAGCCAGAGCATCACCCACATCTCCCCTGCACCCCCTGCACCGCTCCCAACTCAGCAGCTTCTCCATCCCTGCACTTCCAGCTGCCAGGGGGGGACAGAGGACACCTGGCTGTGCTGCCACCTCACCTGATCTGGAAGGACACTTCTAGCTCATGCCCTTACCCCTGCAGGCACAGGGCATCTTTGGGAGATGGCAGAAGGGGAGGGAGGGAGGAAGGAAAAAAACCCCTGCATGGATTTCTCTCCAGTCCCTTCCAGTTTGCTCTCACGGGGTGTTGGGGGGGAAAAGTGTTTGCAGGAGCACAAGATTCACCTCAATAAAAGGGAAAAGGGGAAAATATTTAACTCTGCCAGGAAGGGAAGAATGTGCTGAATTAAACAAAAAAAACAACCCTCTCCACAGGCTGATTGTATCTAACCTTGCTTTTACATTCACACAGTGATTTCCAAACCAGGCCACGGATTAGGAGGAGCTGAGAGGGAACAGGCAACGAGGGTGTTCTGCAAAAAACTGAGGATCAATTTAAACAAGCTGGAAGGGAAATTGTTTTCTTATAGATTATCAGCAAAGCCAGACCCCGTCTCAGAGGACACAGGGGTGTTAATAAATGATGTATTTACACGTCCTCGGAAAACAGACAACAAATTAGATTCCCCCTCACCCTTCCTGCCTTCTCCTGGACCAGCCTGGGCTCTGATTCATCTCTCCTGATGAAAAATGCAGTGGAGTTGCTCTCCTTTCTATGGCATCACATGGCCTGTTCTGCAGGTGTTTCTCTCCACTGGGATATTTGGGTCCAGGCAAGGTGATGCTCCCAAGGAAAGGCTCACACTGGGTTTTGCTGGAGGTTGTGCTTGGGCACCTCGTGTTCCCCAGCCACAGATCCCACTGGCTGCAAACATCCTGCCCTCGGATCTGGGAGGTTTTGCTGCTTGGCTTCTTGTTTGTCTCCCACAGCACACTCCTGGAAAAGCTGCAGCCCAAGGCCTGGACAGGGGCACCCTGTGCTGGGTCAGGAACTGGCTGGAGGGCCTGGCCAAGAGTGGTGGGGATGGAGCTGCATCCAGTTGGGATCCGTCCCCAGTGGTGTCCCCAGGGATCAGTGCTGGGCCCAGTCCTGTTTAATGTCTTTACTGATGATTTAGATGAGGGCACTGAGTCCATCATCACCAAATTTGCAGATGACACCAAGCTGGGGGGCAGTGTCCATCAGCTGGAAGGCAGGAGGGCTCTGCAGAGGGACCTGGACAGGTTGGAGAGTTGGGCTGATTCCAACGGGATGAGGTTCAACCAGGCCAAGGGCCGGGTCCTGACCTTTGGCCACAACAACCCCCGGCAGCTCCAGGCTGGGACAGAGGGGCTGGAGAGCAGCCAGGCAGGAAGGGAGCTGGGAGTGGGGATGGACAGGGAGCTGAACAGGAGCCAGGGTGTGCCCAGGGGGACAAGAAGGCCAATGGATCCTGGCCTGGCTCAGGAACAGGGTGGCCAACAGGGCCAGGGAAGTGATTCTGCCCCTGGACTCAGCACTGGTGAGGCCACCCCTGGAGTGCTGTGTCCAGTTCTGGGCCCTCAGCTCAGGAAGGACATGGAGGGGCTGGAGCAGGGCCAGGGAAGAGCAACGAGGCTGGGGAAGGGACTGGAGCACAAGTGCTGTGAGGAGAGGCTGAGGGAGCTGGGGGGGCTCAGCCTGGAGAAGAGGAGGCTCAGGGGAGACCTCCTCACTCTGCAACTCCCTGACAGGAGGGGGGAGCCGGGGGGGGTTGGTCTCTTTTCCCAGGCAACCATCAGCAAGACAAGAGGGCTGGGTCTGCAGCTGTGCCAGGGGAGGGGTAGGTTGGAGATCAGGAAGAATTTCTTTGCAGAGAGGGTGCTCAGCCATTGGAATGGGCTGCCCAGGGAAGGGGTGGATTCTCCATCCCTGGAGGGTTTTAAGATGAGACTGGATGTGGCATCAGTGCCATGGGCTGGGAACCACGGCGGGGTTGGATCAAGGGTTGGACTTGATGATCTCGGAGGTCCCTTCCAACCCAGCTGATTCTATGATTCTACAAAATTATTGGAAATAAAGTACTGAAATCTCCCCTAACAGACAGGAGGAAGCTGACAAACCCCACAAAAACCAGCAAGGGGAGAAAAACGAGTGGCAGGTCCCCCCTGCCAGGCAGACCAAGGCCCTGCTTCAATGGCACCTCAAGAACAGTCGTTCAGCTCATCCTTTAAACACTCAACACACAAGAGCACAGTTCATTCTGTCTGACAACCCAGTGTGTGAGATTAGAACCCCCTGACATTTATCTAATCAGGGGAAATTATAACATTAATCTTTACTTTTCTATTTAAGGAGAAAGGATGACTCAGGCAGGTGTTTTAATAGAAAGCAGCACTGCTGACAGCAGAGGGAAGGTGTCCTACCAAAAGGCATCAGCTGCATGGGGAAAACAAAAGGGGGGTGGTTTCCTTATAATTTAAAGTAATTTATATGTTCCAGGAAAGCCAAGAGGGTTAAATAACCATGGTGGTTCAGAAAGCAAAGCTAAACAACATTGCTAAGGCTGAACAGCCAGGGAACATCCCAACTGGGCAGGTTTATCCAAGGAAAATCCTCTCCCTTTCACTCTGCTCCTGTTCCTGAGCTGTGGCACTTTCCCTCAAATTCCTCAATTCCCTGGGAGGAAAAGTGCTGAGCTGCACTAACCCCCCCTGGATGTCATTCCTGCTCCTTCCCTGCTTCCTTTTCCCTCTCCTTCATCCTGCCCCCAGAGCCACAACGTCCTCCAGAGCCATCCCAGGGAATGCTGCAAACAGCTCCAAGGAATTCCTTCCAAAATCCCAATTTTAGTGACCCCCTGGTCCCCCCCAGGAGCTGCCCCAGGCCAGGGCTGCCCCCAACCCCAGGGCAGCAGCTTCCCTGTGCTTGAGCCACCTGCCAGGACATCTCCTGGCCCTCAACAGCACCTTGGGATCCCAAGCCACAAATCTTTTTTACCCTAATCCCCAAATCTTTTTTACCCCAGTCCTGAAATCTTTTTTTACCTCAGTCCCCACATTTTTTTTACTGCAGTCCCAAAATCTTTTTTTTACCCCAGTCCCGAAATCTTCTTTACCACAATCCAGAAATCTTTTTACCTCAGTCCTGAAATCTTTTACACCCCAATCCTGAAATCTTTTTACCCCAATCCAGAAATCTGTTTTACCCCAATCCAGAAATCTTTTTTTACCCCAATCCCAAAATCTTTTTTACATCCCAGTCCCAAAATCTTTTTTCACCCCAGTCCTGAAATCTCTTTTTTACCCCAGTCCTGAAACCTTTTAACATCCCAGTCCAGAAATCTTTTATTACCCCAATCCAGAAATCTTTTTTTACCCCAGTCCTGAAATCGTTTTTTACCCCAGTCCCAAAATCTTTTTACCTCCCAATCCTAAAATCTTTTTATCCCAGTCCCAAAATCTTTTTTTTACATCCCAATCTCAAAATCTTTCCAAGGCCAGGCTGGAGCCACTTGGGCTAGTGGGATGTGTCCCTGCCCGTGGCAGGGGGTGGAATTAAATGCTCTTTAAATTCCCTCCCAACCCCAAACCACTGTGGGATTCCATCAAATCCACACTTCCCGGGATTCCAGCTGGAATTCCAGCAGGACACAGAGGGCTCCTGGAGCTGTGGATTGCCAGGAAAGCAGCGTGGGGGGGTGGGAGGGAGCAGCAGGAGTGGGTACCTTGGTACTGGGCACTGAAGCCCTTCTGCCTGTGGTTGCCATCAGAGGTGAAGTGGAGCCTCAGCCAGTTCTTGCTGCTGATCACAGGGGCAGGTAAATTCATCCCAGTGAACCTGCAAGAGAAGCAAAAAACCCCATTAGTGGGTGGGAATCACCCCCAACACTCACCTTTGCAGGTTTTCCTGCTCCCACAGGGATCCAGGAAACCCTCAGGGGGTGCCCAGCAAAGCACCTCCACCCCCCAGGGCTTTCCAGCCACAGGATCCCCCAAGTTTATTCAGCTCCTGCCTTTCTGGTTGCTTAACCCACTCCAAAAAAGTCTGTTTGTCTCCACTGAGGAGCAGGAAGCAGTGCAAGAACCATCTGATTTTTTCCTCTAAACTGTCAGAGGATTTTGGAACTGGGGTAAAAAAGATTTCAGGACTGGGGTAAAAAAAGATTTCTGGACTGGGGTAAAAAAGATTTCTGGATTGGGGTAAAAAAGATTTGGGGACTGGGGTAAAAAAAGATTTTAGGACTGGGATGCAAAAAGATTTTAGGACTGGGGTAAAAAATATTTCTGGATTGGGGTAAAAAAGATTTCTGGACTGGGGTAAAAAAAGATTTCTAGACTGGGGTAAAAAAGATTTCAGGACTGGGGTAAAAAATATTTCTAGATTGGGGTAAACTGCCAGAAAGGAGAAGTGATTTCTGATCCACCCCGACCTGGGTGAGAGCACAGCCAGCAACCAAGGTGGAAAACTCCCCAGCCCTTCAGACCTCTTTATATTTGTATTTTCTCTTAAAATACAATGCTGTTTTTGCTTTAGTAAACTCCAGCTCCTCGTTCCTGGCTGAGCTGTCTTTGTCTGGGACAACATTCCAGTCACAGCACTTGGACTGAGCCACATAAAGGGGACATTGCCCATGGCAATTCCAAATTATTTTAATCATCAGCTCTCAATTATTTAAAAACTGTTGGCATTCCAGTGCTTTTTTTTTTTTCTTTTTAGAGGAAGGTAAAAGGATCCTGGAAATCTCCATCCCCAAGGGTCACTCAGAGTTGGTGACACACATTTTTAACAGCAGACCTGACACCCAGGAGGCACTTTTAGAGCCCAACCAGCCCTTCCAGAGGTGAACTCTGGCAAACAGGGGGATCCAGGGTGTCCCTTGGCAGAGGATTTATTAATGGCAGAGGAACTGCAACTCTGTTAATGAACTTGCAGGGCTGATTATTGTGCATAACTAATGCATCTCTGCCACCTACAGTACAGACTAAACCCTGGATTAGCCACTGCCTGAGTCCTGCCCAATGAGCAGCGTGACTGGAAACACCCTTTACACCCCAAAAATCGCTTTTAAGATCGTTCTCCATCATTTCTCTGTCGATTATTTCCATTTTTCAGCCCTTTTGGAAGCACGAGGTGTTCCAGAAATGGATTCTCTGTGGCTTTTTGCCATCCTTGGGAGGACTCAAAGACAGCTGGACCGACTGAATTGGAAACTTTTCTCAACTAACTAAACTTCAAACCAACAGATTTGGGGCCCGGATCAAACACGGGGATGCCAAAAAACCCAATTGTGAGGAAGTTTCTGTGGCTGGTTGTTATGACAACAGGCTTAAAACTTCATCCTCTCAGCCCCCCAGAGGCCATTTTATTATTCATTCTGAACCAACAGTCAAAACTTCTCATCAAACAAATTTTAACTTTCATAACCGTGGCGAGACAAATAATTTGATGGAATGATATTAAAAAAAATAAGAGAACAATAAACTAAACCTGCCTGGATGAGGCAGAATTTCTCCTGTCCTCCATCCCTAGTTTTGTTTATTTTTTTTTTTAATATCCACATCCTTGAGAGGTGGATCCAGATTAGTAATCCACCCTTTTACCTTGGATTCCTCAGGATTCCAAGCTTTTATTTTTACTTTCTTGTTTTTTAAAGCCCATTAATGACCTGAAAAACTCTTCCAGCCTCTCTGTGTCCATCTGTCCCCTTGTCCCCTTCTTGCTGCCCATCCCCAGGACACAGACCCCCAGCCTGGTTTGGGTTTGGGCTGGAAGGGAGTTAAAGCTCTTTATCTCACTCTTGATGACCTTGGAGGTCTTTTCCAACCTCACTGACCAGCAGGAGTTCAGAATTCTGCTCTTTCCCCTCCAACAGTTGGACTTTGTTGTCACCTCCTGTCCCCAACTCCCCCCTTGAGCACTGCTGGGGAAAAAAATGCATCTCTCAAACAACTGATTTTATCCCAAATCCTTCCCAGCTGGGTTTTTAATCAGAGCACTGAGGTGTTGAGGGTTTATTTTTTGAAGCCTCCCCATTAAACACAGCTCCTCCAGTTCCTTTATTGCAGAACACAGAGAGGTTAATGGCATCAAAACTCCTCTTTTGAGGAAAAGCACCCAAGTGTGGCTTTCACAACTGTTTTTCTTCGTTTCTTTTCTTGCCCTTGTATTTCCCATGGAAGGCAGGCATGAAATATTTATCCCATTCACTCAGCCATCCCTCCCCTGGCACAATTAGTATTTCTGTACATGGATGGCACTGATTGCTCTGCATTCACATCCCATTATCTATTTACAATCCCAATTCCTGCTTTAATTTGTGGAGAGCAAGAAAGGGGGGGAGGAAAAAAAAAATCAATAAAATGTCACAAAGTGAGCTGGAAGCACTGGAAGAGAGGAAGGAGGTGTTTGCAGACACAAGATCCAATTGGAACCACTCTGGAATTTGGCTGTGCTGCTTCTCCAAGGACCCAAATCCAAGGAGCAGTTCCTGGGGTGGATGCAGGAGAGCAGGGAGTCAACTCAAGGTGGGAGTTCCACCTGAAATCCCATTATATCATGTGGAGATGATGGATTTAAGCACAAACCTGGAGGCATTTCTGTGCCCTGGAGCTGCCCAGAGCTGGGCTGCAGCTGAAAACCAGCCCCAGTGAGCCCAAATAAGGGATGAAGATCATCACTGGGCACATTTGATCTTTTTTTGCCCCCTGAACTAATCCTGTTTGTTTAATTTAATCCCTCTGTTCACTGAATCTCTCCCTCAGCATCCCTGTGGCACAGGGATCTCCAGCTGCTGCTCATCACTCCCCCCAGCCAGGCTGGGACATGCCCTGGAGCCTCCAACACACATTTAGGGTGAACCCCTCTGATCCTGCAGCTTCCCAGAGCTCAGCTCCTCCTCGTCCTGCTCTGGCTGGAAAGGAGACCCTCTGCAGTCAGTGGGAGAGGAGGAGGAGAGACTCCAGGAGAGGGGAGTCACAGAAAGCCCCCTGGTCCCTGTCAGGGCCAGTCAGCAGGAGATTTGAGGAGAAAAGCACTCCTGGAGCCTTGGCAGAACAAGAGAACCAGGATCACCCACCCCTGGGAGTGCCCAAGGCCAGGCTGGGTGGGCTTGGAGCAACCTGGGCCTGTGGAAGGTGTCCCTGCCCCTGGCAGGGGGTGGCACTGGGTGATCTTCACCTCCCCTCCCAACCCATCCCTGGCTCCCTGAGACACAACCTGGAGCTGCTCAGCTCACCCAACCCCTGCCAGAGCCTCCCATTCCCTCCCAGCCTTTATTGCCCTGAACCAGCCCAACTATTCAGAGCTTAATTTCCCTTTCAGTGCATCTCAGGGACATATTGCAGCAGCTCTTTTATATCTCCACCTATTATGATTCACTTCACCTGTATTTTTAACTTTTTCATCCAAACCTCTCCTCAAATTATCAGGAGAGCTGTACCATTAATTCTGAACATCTTATTTGAGCTTGTCTTACTCTCTTAAACAAAATACACTTAAGCACCTCTAGACCTCATTTCTCGGTCGCCAGAGACATCTCATCACAATGGACTTTTACAAGGGAAATGAATAATTAGATTAAAGTTATTGTTCCCCCTTTTAATGCTGGAGGGATGGAAAGAACACACCTGCATCTTAACTCTGGGCCAGGGGCTGGAATTTACTCGGGAAACGCAGAGGGAGATCCCACATCACCCCTTGGAAAGGCTTGGAAAGCATTGGGGTGTGATGTGTGAATCCCCAGGGATTCCTGACTGTGGAGAATCCTGGAAAAAACACTGGAAACAACAACAAGGAGCTTCCAGGTCCCTTCCTTCAGCACCACATTTTTAAGATCCCCCCAGTGGGGCTCCTGGGACAGGATCCCACCAGCTGGTTTCCTGCAGGAGGAGGAGCAGGGAACTCCTCATCTCCCAAAAGGAATAAAAATGTCCTTAAGAGGATGAGTTATTTTAGAAATGCAAGTGTGGAAAAACTTCTTGGTGTGTTCATCCCACCACCCTGCAGACTCCAGGGAATGGGGTGGAAGCAGAGCAGCTCCTGATCCCTGGAAGTGCCAGAACAGGAGAGCTCTGCTCAAAACCCAGCAGGTGCCACCAGAGCTGGAAATGAAACAACTCTGCTGGTTTGGACTTTGCCTCAGCCTTAATCCCAGGATGAGGTTTCAGGGTAAATCCCTCTCCTGGTGCCAGGTGGGCACAGCCCCTTTGGCCTCCAAGGCACCTTCTTGTTTCCTCTCAATGCACTTCGCTCATCTGTTAACAACAGACTTCAACAAATCCCTCCCAGAGCCTCCCAGCTCCAGGGATCCCTCTCTCTGCTCCTTCCAGAACCTGGTGCTGGAAGGGAAATCACATTCATTCATCACTCACAGTTTGCTTTCTCTCCCCCTTTCCCTTCTTTTTTTTCCTGCATTCCATCAAAACATGAAAGTGTTTCCACGCAGCAGCAAAACTTCAGTCACTGACATCAAATTTAATTACTCTCCCAGATGAATTTGCTGGCTACAACCAAATCACTTTCCTTTTTTTTTTTTTTCCTCCTAGCAGGAACCTTTACACTGAAGTTCTTAATTCTTCATTTTTTATGTGACATTTCCCCCAGCTCATCCTTAAAGGAGCATAAACCAAATCCTTGGCTGATTTGGGGCAATGAAGCTCAAATGGAGACAAAGCCAAACTCATTTCCACTGTACAGGGGACCTGACAAAGTAATTTCTCTGCTGTTTTCCTTAACCTTTGAAACGTTTCAAAATTACTTCAGTCTGAATTTTCTTGGATCCCTATCCTGGATTAATCACAGTCACTTTAATGAAAAGTGATTCAACAAGTCCACAGGCA